TTACTTGGGAGCTTCCGTTTCGGTCTTTGTGGATTTTGTGTCGTCGTCCTTCTCTTCGTGGACACAGAACCATGGGAAAGCCTCCTGAAGGGCGAGACGGAACTTGGGGTGCGAGATGGCGAACATGATGGGGTTGTAGACAGAGGCGGTCTTTGCGATGAGGCCGGGCAGGGCGGAGACAAGGGGAGTCACCTTCTCTTGATTGCCAAACAGTCCCTGGGAAAAGAATTAGTTCTCAGGTATCAAAATAAGCTGTGGCATTGACCACTGTTGCTGAATGGAAAAATGAGATGATCCTACAAGTGAATAGCTCCATTTGACAGGTGAATGCAATACTTACAGTCATGACAACGTAGGCATATGGCGTCCATGTAAGCAGCCACAAGAAGACATTGGCCACTGCCACCTTGGCGATTCGAACTTCAGCACTCTGCTTCTTGGCGTCGGCGTTGGAGCGGAGGTTTTCCACATTCATTTTCTTGGCTTGTTCTCGAAGAGCCTTTTCGTGCTGGCGAATGGCACCAACGATCTGGGAGTACACGAAGATGATAATAGTGAGCGGAATGCAGTAGCACATGATGAACAGGAAAAGGCCGAAGGACTTGGTGCTCCAGTCTTGGCTGATGTAGTCGAAGCTGCAGGAGGTGAGGATACCTTCAGGGATATAAGAGTTCCAACCGAAGAAGGGCCAGATTGACACTGCTGTGGAGTATCCCCAACACAGAAGAATGATGAGGAAAGCTTTTCCGGAGCTGATGTGGCCACCGTCGAAAGCTTTGACGATAACGCAGTAACGATCGTAGCCAATTGCAGCCAGAGTCATGAGCGATGTCAAGCCAAACAAAGCTCCTGTGAAGGCATGAAGTTGGCAAGCAAAGGCCCCCAGAGACCAGAAGCCTCCACTGAAGCAATTCATGACGAACATTGGAAATTGAGATACCATCATCATGAAGTCGCTGAAAGCCAGATTAACCACGAACATATTTGCTGGAGAACGCAAGCTTTTCTTACAAAGGAACAGGTACATGACGACACCATTGCCGAAGAAGGAAAGGAAACCAAGTATCATGTAAATACCTGCCAGCAAATAGTGCCACATAGGGTTGACGGGGGGAAAGTTGCTCCAGTGGGGATGAATGAGAGGTTTGACGTCATCTGGAACAAGATCCATGAGAGTGAAACCCTCTGGGTATCCAAAACTAACACCTCCTCCCCTATAAGCCATAGGGACGGTGACGTTGACAGTGCCAATCCTCATGGTGGAGAGTTCAGTAGAGACGGAGATGCCAAGAAGTTTGAAACCAAACTAATACTGTTCAGACGCTGCAGTTTGGTCGCAGAGCTTGTCTCTTGGCTTCAGGTAGTCTCCCGGAGCCTTTCGGTTGTGAAGTGCGAGGGTGAGCCCCATGTCCACCCCTTATATACGTCTTCAGCCAGTTAAGCAGTTTGTTAAGTATAAGCTGTCTAGCATTGACTTGCGTAAGCAGCCAAAATCGATTTTGCACAAAAAAGTAGCATTCCTGAGGATTGATTTTACATAAGTAGCTCCTTAGAACGAGTTTGTGTGTGTTTATTGTATTTGCAGAATGGATTTACTTGTGGCTGCGACACTTAATTTATTTTTTTTAGAACAAAAAAAAATAAGAATGACACATTCTTTGTCTTACGTGTTCATGTCAGTATAGTCCTTGTTCCCGATTCTTTTCAGTCACAATCATAGTAATCACCAATATCATTAGTCTTTGCGTTATTTTTTGTGGTGTTGCTATTTTTAAGAAAAGCCGGATTTTTTTTTTCCAATCCATAATGATAATCCGAAATTAAGGATTTTAATCTGCGAAGATCTCTCAGTTCCATTTGACCTCTCCCGTGCTTTGATTTGTATAATAATATTAGTAACGATGGTTATTACCATATTACCTTTATTGAAAGTTATTATCAATATTATGATTATTTGGCTTATATTTCAATTCAATCTTGTTTACCTACCATCGAATACTGATACTAAAACAAATATCTGGGATTGTCAAATATACAACTAAGGCGCATTATCACTTGCACTATTACAGCCAGTAATTTCGTTTTTATTGTCTCTATTTAAGATGTCTCCATCATAATCGACTTTATCAAAGGACAGAACGAAAATGGTAATAATGTGAAAATTAGTGAGTAATATTAACGATGTTTTATTACAGCGATATTTTTTTTTTTTTTTTTTTTTTATCAGTAATGATTTTTTTTATCTATTACGGCTGTAAATGATTTTTCACATATTTTTGCGATAATATTTAGTGTATTGTAGATAACAATATTTTGATTATTATATGGGGTTTATAACTATTTTTTTGTTATTGCTATTAATATAATTATCATTATTATTATTGTTGTTGTCATTATCATTATCGTTATCATTACTGTTATAATTTTTATTTATATAAAAATGATTCTTATTAGGACTATTGTTGCTATTACTATCATCATTATAATTGTTAATGTTATCAAAATAGTTATTGTCATTATTATTATTACAATTCACTACCACCATCATTGTCCTAACAATTATTATGGAGAAATATTATGCGTAATATATTCAATATCATTCTTGTATTATTTTCATTTGGTAATAATTTTATCGATAATCAGTGTGATAATATATGTGTATTCTTAATATTGCTTTCGTTATCGGCTGCTTGAAAAGGTATTGGGCCAATAATTTCAACAAAAGAAGAAAATATATAGATAATCTTCACGGATATTATCTGATTATTGTCCATGGTTATTATCATCCATATGAATTATTATTTTTATCATCATCATAATTATTATTATTAATATCACCATGACTACTGCTGTTTTGATCGTTGGTAGCTATTATTTTCAAACATTTAATAGGCGATAGATTATTTACGTTTCATGTCTAGGATAACAAAATGACAATATTATCATCTTTATCTTTATTGTATAATTTTCTTACCAACTATTCAAGTATCTTTCGGAATTTGGTAGCGTTTTATAATTAACGATGTGCGTTCTCGAAGGGAACTTCCTTTCAGCCAACATCAGTATATCACATCAATGGCAATTAAGTATAATCCTTAATACACTTGATGAGAATCGTAAAAGCCATCTCAGGAGACACGAGTTTTCTGATTGCCCTCAAGTAAACCTTAAAAGTCTACTTCGGAGCTTCCGCTTCGGTCTTTGTGGATTTTGTGTCGTCGTCCTTCTCTTCGTGGACACAGAACCATGGGAAAGCCTCCTGAAGGGCGAGACGGAACTTGGGGTGCGAGATGGCGAACATGATGGGGTTGTAGACAGAGGCGGTCTTTGCAATGAGGCCGGGCAGGGCGGAGACAAGGGGAGTCACCTTCTCTTGATTGCCAAACAGTCCCTGGGAAAAGAATTAGTTCTCAGGTATCAAAATAAGCTCTGGCATTGACCACTGTTACTGAATGGAAAAATGACATAATTTTACAATTTTGAATAGCTCCATTTGACAGGTGAAAGCTATACTTACAGTCATGACAACGTAGGCATATGGCGTCCATGTAAGCAGCCACAAGAAGACATTGGCCACTGCCACCTTGGCGATTCGAACTTCAGCGCTCTGCTTCTTGGCGTCGGCGTTGGAGCGGAGGTTTTCCACGTTCATTTTCTTGGCTTGTTCTCGAAGAGCCTTTTCGTGCTGGCGAATGGCACCAACGATCTGGGAGTACACGAAGATGATAAGAGTGAGCGGAATGCAGTAGCACATGATGAACAGGAAAAGGCCGAAGGACTTGGTGCTCCAGTCTTGGCTGATGTAGTCGAAGCTGCAGGAGGTGAGGATACCTTCAGGGATATAAGAGTTCCAACCGAAGAAGGGCCAGATTGACACTGCTGTGGAATATCCCCAACACAGAAGAATGATGAGGAAAGCTTTTCCGGAGCTGATGTGGCCACCGTCGAAAGCTTTGACGATAACGCAGTAACGATCGTAGCCAATTGCAGCCAGTGTCATGAGCGATGTCAAGCCAAACAAAGCTCCTGTGAAGGCATGAAGTTGGCAAGCAAAGGCCCCCAGAGACCAAAAGCCTCCACTGAAGCAATTCATGACGAACATTGGGAATTGAGATACCATCATCATGAAGTCGCTGAAAGCCAGATTAACCACGAACATATTTGCTGGAGAACGCAAGCTTTTCTTGCACAGGAAACAGGTACATGACGACACCAGTTGCCGAAGAAAGGAAAGGAAACCAAGTATCATGTAAATACCTGCCAGCAAATAGTGCCACATAGGGTTGACGGGGGGAAAGTTGCTCCAGTGGGGATGAATGAGAGGTTTGACGTCATCTGGAACAAGATCCATGAGAGTGAAACCCTCTGGGTATCCAAAACTAACACCTCCTCCCCTATAAGCCATAGGGATGGTGACGTTGACAGTGCCAATACTCATGGTGGAGACTTCAGTAGAGACGGAGATGCCAAGAAGTTTGGAACCAAACTAATACTTCAGACGCTGGAGTTTGGTCGCAGAACGTGTTTCCTGGCTTCAGGTAGTCTCCCTGAGCCTTTCGGTTGTGAAGTGCGAGGGTGAGCCCCATGTCCACCCCTTATATACGTCTTCAGCCAGTTAAGCAGTTGTTAAGTATAAGCTGTCTAGCATTGACTTGCGTAAGTAGCCTAAATCGATTTTGCACAAAAAGTAGCATTTCTGAGGATTGATTTTACATGAGTAACTCCTTAGAACGTGTTTGTGTGTGTTTATTGTATTTACAGAATGGATTTACTTGTGCCTGCGACACTTAATTTCTTACAAGAACAAAAAAGATTAAGAATGACTCAGACGTTTTTGTCTTACGTGTTCATACCAGTATAGTCCTTGTTCCCGATTTTTTTCAGTAACAGTCATCGTAATCACCAATATCATTAGGCTTCGTGTTAATTTCCGTGTTGTTGCTACTGTTAAGAAAAGCCGGATTTTTTTTTTCCAATCCTTAATGTTAATACGAGATCAATGATATTAATCTGCCAAGATCTTTCAGTTGCATTTGACCTTTCCCGTACTTTGATTAGTACAATTATATTAGTAACAATTTTTATTACCATATTACCTTTATTGAATGTAAATATCAATATTATGATTGTTTAGCCTATATTTCAGTTCATTATTATCTTGTTTACCTACCATCGAATGCTGATACTAAAGCAAATATCTACGATCACAATAGTTGCAGGTTTAGAGGTAATCAATTATTGTCAAATATAAAACGAAGGCGCATTATCACTTGTACTATTACTACCAGTAATTTCTTTTTATTGTCTATTTAAGATATAGTCTCCATCATAGTCGACAGAACAGAAGGAAAATGGTAATAATGTCAAGTATAATAAATAATTAATGTTAACGCTGTTTCATTATAATCATTTTATTTATTTTTATCAGTAATGACTATTTTTTGATGTATTACGGCTGTAACTGATTTTTCTTTTTTTCTTTGTGTGTGTGTGTGTGATAATAGAGGTTGTATTTTAGATATCATATTTTTACAATTAACATGATTATCATTATTATTGTTATTGTCATCATCATTACTACCATCGTTATTATTATTGTTAATGTTATCATCATAATCATTATCTTTATTATTCATTATCATTGCTATTACAATTATGCTTTCACCACCACCACCATTGTCCTAACAATTTTTTCGGAGAAACATTATGCGTAATATATTCAATATTATTCTTGTATTATTTTCATTTGGTAATACTTTTATCGATAACCAGTGTGATACTATATGTTTTCCTAATATTGCTTTCGTTATTGGTTGCTTGAAAAGGTATTGAGTCAATACATTCAACAAAAAAATATATATATAATCATCACAGATATTATCTGATTATTGTCCATAATTATTATCATCCATATGAGTAATTATTTTCATCATTATTAGCATTTTTATTATTATTATCATTATTATTATTAATATTACCACGAATTCTGCTGCTGTTTTCAGCATGTGTTATTATTATTATTTTCAAACATTTAATAGACAATAGATTATTTATGTTTCATGTCTAGGGTAACAAAATGACAATATTACTATCTTTATCTTTTGTATATATTTCTTACCAACTATTCAAGTATCATTCGGAATTTGGTAGCGTTTTACAATTAACGATGTGCGTTCTCGAAGGGAACTTCCTTTCAGCCAACATCAATATATCACATCAATGGCAATTAAGTATAATACTTAATATACTTGATGATAATCATTAAAGCCATCTCAGGAGGCACGAGTTTTTCTTTTATTAACCTCAAGTAAAGCTTAAAAGGCTTTACTTGGGAGCTTCCGTTTCGGTCTTTGTGGATTTCGTGTCTTCTTCCTTCTCTTCGTGGACACAGAACCATGGGAAAGCCTC